ATCCATCCATTTTAGGGAGAGGTGTGATTTTTAAAAGAAATCCACACATCTGTTTTCTTATTATTACTTAATGTCCGACATATTAAAATATCTATCACACTGTTATTGTTATTATAACAATAATATTATTTAAAATTATACATCCATGATTGTTTCGTAGATGCACATGTGGGGTCATGGATCACAGTATCGCAAAGGGGCCCGAGTCACTGAAAGGAAAGCAGCCCGAACAATGTTAGGCATTCTCGATGGCTACTGTGTGAAGAAGGGTGCAAGAACACAAACATAAACCACCCAAGAGCAAAGGCACTGAAAGATTTCAGAACCCTACAGACTCATTACAAGAGGAAGCACAGCACGAAGCGCTTCGCCTGTCGCAAGTGCGCTAATAAGCGCTTTGCCGTGAAAGGTGACTGGAGAACCCATGAGAAGAATTGTGGCAAACGGTGGCTTTGCGTTTGTGGTTCTGACTTCAAGCACAAGAGGTCACTTAAAGACCACATCACTTCATTTGGCCATGGTCATGATCATGCTCCTTTTCCTTCTTCATTTGATGGGGTTGAGGTACACGAGGGTTCTATATATTCTCTTTCAGGTTAAAATTACCTTGAATGTTGATGAGGTACGAAACAGGTTTATGTACAATTAACAGTCGAATATGTGATTTAGGACAATTAATGAGGTAATCAATAAACAATTAATATTAAATGAAAATACTAGGTCAATACACAAATGTATAGTAGTTCGGTCAAAGGCTATTTTACTCCGAAAGTGGCAACGGTGGCTGAAAAACCTTTATTAATAAAGTAAGGTAAGAGCGCGAGCAAATGTGAGTTTCGAGAGAGGTATGGTATCTAGGAGAGAGAAATAGCTATGTGAAGTGTGTAGAGAGATGTCCTCTCATGTTGAGGGAGTTTACAATTTATAGGCACAGAACTTTAGTTGAGACAGTGACATAAGGGTAAAAGTACTAATTTTTCGAAAAGGATAAATACAACTAAAGATGTGTATAATTAAAGATTGTCTTGATTTTCAAATGTGGCTATTTTGGTGATTGCTCCCCACGTACTCTAATTTTCTTAGACTCCTTAAATGCTGGATTGGGTCGAATTCAAGAATTAGACTTGAATTACATTTTAATTGATTTGAGCTTACTTAATTAGTTAGGTTTGGACTCATCAAATGCCACTATGAGCTGCCGATTATTGAAGCATAAACAATACCGGATCATCTTTGTATTGTCTCATGAACAAGTGCAATGAGGAGGTAATTCATATGGACTATGCATGAATTTAAGTCCAACCTATAATAATATTGGACCTAACTTACTCAACTCATCAATCAATATCATTTGATGAGTAGTGGCCCGGTCTCAATTAATATTAAAATTTAATGTTTATCTAATAACAAAATATAATTAGACCAACAAATTAATTCAATTGCTTAACTTTTCCAATATGCACCTTGCCCTTCTTATTTTCAGTTAAATGGACATAGGACAGGCTTGGCCCGCTTGGGTAGGGTCAGACCCAACCATTAAAAAATCCATCCCAAAACGTTGGGCTTTACAGGAGTACTCCCTTCCCCATTGCTAGCGAAAGAGCACCTCTAACAGATGCTTCAAATGGATAAAATAGCTAAAATTTAACTATTTTGGAATAAAAATTTATCTCCAACAGATGTTGTTTCTATTATGTAAAATGCATTTTTTTGTTATAACGATACTCTAAATATAGAGTGTCACTGTAGCAATATGTAAACATTTATATATATTATTTTCTCTCTCTTCCTCTTATTTCTTTCATTATTTTCCTTTCTCCCTTTTATTATTTTCAAAAAATATAATACAAAAGGAATGATAAATAATATTTAAAAGAAGTAGTTAAAAAATAAAGAGAATCTGTTAGAATATATATTGAAAAAATGAGTAGCTAAAATAGAAAAAGTTGTTTATTGGGTAATTAAAATAGCTATTATTGTTAGAGATGCTCTGAACTAACTTACTCCAATGGGTAAATAACATCACCCATGTTAGAATCAAAAATATCCACGACATCTTATTTCGGCGCCAATATCTCCTCACCAGGCCTTTCATCCTTCTGATCCTCAACAGCAAACTTTGGTACTAGATTCTTGAATTGCATACATATAGGAGGATGAAATCTATCAAAGTGATCACATCCATCATTTCGCTACATTTAACAACATTTTATTTGATCTGATAATTACAAAAAATAACTAAAATACATTATTATTATTATTATTATTATTACTATTAGAGAAAAATCAAAATTACATCTGCACATTTACCTCATAATTATAGCATCACCGAAGCCTCCTACCAAGGTTTTGATCTGTCCAAGACGTTAGAATTAGGGCCCTTCTTCCAGTCGGTGTTCATTGTCATCAACCTCCTACTAGGATTGTGAAGATGGCTGCTCCTTTTCTCTCCTTCTCCACTTACGTGTGCTCTGTTTGGTCTTCTTAGGAATTAGTGTTGCAAGACGAGTATATGGAGAAGTGAAGAGGGCGGGCGGGAAAGCAGCCAAAATTCCCATAATGCCCCTCACACGACCCTCCCACCAACTTTTTAGACTGCAATTAGGACTATGGACGAATTTGGTTAAATGTGTAAATGTTGAGGACTAAATTGTTGAAATTGTAACTTTAGGGACCAATGTTTTATAAATGACAAACCTCAAGGACCAATAGTGCTACAATAAATTATACAAATGCATAGCAAATTAAAAGAGTACACTAAAACAATTACCAAGTGGATGGAAACTGCCAAACTGAAGTATGGCAAGGACAGAGGGAATTTTAAATGGAGTAGTGAAATGCGTAGAAATTAAAAAGAAAACTAAAGACGAATTGAGCACTTAGGTCAGGACAAAACACTCATTTTAAAGGAAAAGTTAAAAATTGACTTGAGGAAAGAGCACCAAAAGAAGTAAGTCATAGAACAACTTCTCATCTTTGATCTTTCTCTTTATGTTTTTGATTAAAAATTGGGTGGTAACAAAGGAATTTTTCTGTTTTTCCCATTAAGCTTCTTCCTTCCTGCGCATCAAATCGCTTTTCCTTTTTCCTTTACACTCTCGCCTTTTCAAAAGAGGGATCTTTAGCTAATTTCTTTTTTGCCTCAATTCATTTGAGGAAACACATTTCTTCCTTCCTAAGCTTAGCCCATAGTCTAATCTTTCTTTTAACTTAACCAAATATTCTTCAAAACAGAAAGGCTCGAATAAAGGTTTTGGACCCAGGTTTATTGGGTGTTTTTTCAATTAGTTTTTTGGGCAAAAATAATTTTTATCAGTCTAAAGGCTTATCAAAGTGCTTCTAAGAAAAAAATCGGTTTTTTTTAATCACTCCAAACAGTTCTAAATTTTTTTTTAACCCTGATTTTTTTATTTTACTTTTAAACTTCTGTTTTGCACTCAATAAATTTAATTTTAAACGAGCCCAATATGCTAAAGTATACTCAATTCAGTTTTGAAACAGGGCAAGTGCATTGGGGGAATTATAATATGTTTCGTGAATGTATCGAAATCGGTAAAATTACTTTTTAGTATCATATTTCTTAATTTCTACAAGTCATAGCACGACATGTGTGAATTTTTTTATATTTTATTATTTTACTATATTTAAAATTAATAATCACAAATAAATCAATATAAAATGAACAATTAACATTTATTTTGAGTTTATTACGAAACCCATACCATTATATCCCATTGGTTTGCCCAATCGGGTGAGGCAGAGTCACGTTGTACACTTGACCATTGCCAACCTTATAAAGGTGTAGCGAGGAGTGAGAGACCAAGAGAAGAACAATGGCGGGAACCACAGAGAAACCTCAGCCTCATGCGGTTATGGTCCCAAACCCAGCACAGGGCCATGTATTCCCAATGCTCAAAATCGCAAAACTCCTTTACCAGAGAGGCTTCAAAATAACCTTCGTCAAAACAGAGTACAACCAACGCCGCCTCCTCCGTTCCCGCGGCCCCAAAGCCGTCGACAAACTTGCATTTCCTCTGGCTTCTGTAGCATTGCATCTTGAGTCTGGTTTCTAATCCACCAATGATGTGAACTGCAGGTGACAGTGATATGACTTATGGGTACCTAGACACAGTTATTGATCGGATACCGGGCATGAAAGGTATACGTTTGAATGAGCTCCCAGCTTTCATACGAATCACAAACCCGAAAGATGTTATGCTTAATTTTGCCATAAACGAGGCCGAGAATTCTCATAGTGCTTCTGCCATCGTTTTGAGTACAATTGATGTCTCGGAGCATCATGTTTTGGAAGCCCTCGCGCCCATGTGTGATAAGTTGGCCAGCTTTCGCAGGGCAACCAACCAATTGTTGGTTCTGTTGTAACCATTGGGGCATAGGCATGGAGATAACAGATCTTACAAAAGAGGAAGTAGAGAGGCTAGTGAGCGAGTTGATGGCTGGAGAGAAGGGGAAAGAGATTAAGAGAAAAGCAATGGAGTGGAAGAAGTTGGCTGAAGAAGCCACTAGTCCAACTGGGTCATCTTACAATAACTACTATGATAAAGTGGTTGCCAAGGTGCTCCTCTCCAAGCTTCAGTAAGTGTCAAAATGCTCGTCTTATAAACAAATCAAACCTGTAACTGTTGTTTACAAGGCCTCCTCTGTTTAAGTTTGCTTTGCTCTGTGGTGGGTGTTGCTGTCTGAAGCTCCTCCATTTCATAGCACTAAATGTTTTATCATCTGTACAATTGCAAAATTGAGGCAGCCAGACAGGCTCAAAGATTTTAAACTATAATATTCTGCTCAGACATGCAATTCTTACATTTTGTTTAGAGGGACATAACTCACATAAGGAACATTATTCTGTGAAATCAAAATCATTGTTTTGCAGCATAATCTTTTGGATTGCATTGTGTCTTATGGCGTATGTTGTTTCTGGGAGAGAAGCACTTGGTTGATCATTTTCTCCAGATTCATGTAGGATGATCCAGCTGAACCTCTAGTGGCTTCTTCGGCTCTTTGCTTCCAATCCAACGCCTTCTTCTTCATGTCATTGCCTCTCTCTCCAACCATCAACTCTCTCACAAGGCTCGCAATTTCATTTCTCTTAACATCGTTGTCTATCTCCAAGCCAACGCCCCATTGAGTGCAGCAAGACCAACAAATGGTCTGTTGATCCGCGAAAAATGGCCAACAGATCATTGGCACTCCAGCACTTAAACTTTCAAGTGTGGAATTCCACCCATTGTGAGTTAAAAAATCCGCCAATGGAAGGGTGACAAATAACTTTTTCTTGAGGACACCAACCTGCTAATAGGCCTCTATCTTTTGTCTCTGCCGCAAATTCAGGTGGAAGAACAGCTGAATCACCAATAAGAAGATCAGGCCTTACTACCCACAAAAAGATTTGATTGCTATTAGCTAATCCCCAAGCAAACTCAACAAGTTGTTTGGGTGTCATGATAGTGATGCTTCCAAAATTAACATAAACAACAGACTTAGGTTCTTTCAAGTCGAGCCATTCAAGACACTCTGACCTTTCTTTCCAAAGATTTGATCCAAGCAACTTCAGTTCGTTATCATTAATTTGATTTTCGAGCAAATGCAAAGGTCCAACAGTATAAATTGGGGGAAGAATGGATGAAAGTGCATCGATAACATCATGCTCCAATACTTCATACGTATTCAGCATAATCGCCGAAACCCTTTTAGATCTCTCAGCTTCATTCAAGAAAAATTTCATGACAATATCATTCAGGTCCGTGGTTCTAATAAAACTTGGAAGATCCTTCAAACAAACACCTTTCATTCCAGGGATCCAGTCTATGACTGTATCCAAATACCCATTTATTAGGTAAGTAGAATCTGCACATCAAGAGAATAACAAATGCTAACGTCAAAATAAAACTTATAAAAAAAAAAAAAATCTTCAAGGGTTTTCTTCTGACACAACCCAATGAATCAAAATTCATTTACGAACCCAAAGTTGATTTAACCAGTTAATAGATTACCTTTGAGAGGGGTAAAGCCCTTGTCGATGAGATTGCGGAATTGCAGGACGGCCATTGAGGCACAAGCACTGGTTGGCCAGAAAATAACTACAGGGATGCCTAGTTCTTCTGCAGCTGCGACTGTAAAGGTCATGGTACAATCAGAAACTATGTAAGTGACGGGAGGTACGCTCGAGGAGGTGTCGTTAAGTTTGGAAAGGAGGTCTCTGAATGGAGCCAAGCAATGTTTGGAAGTGGACTCACACAAGGAGGGGATGTCTTGGGTGGCGTCGATATCGGATGGAGGAAGGCCGTCCGGAATGGTTTCGAATCGGAAGGATGGGAGGCCGTTGAGTGAGTCTGAACCTCGGGATTTGAGGAGGCGTTTATGGTTGAACTCGGTGTTTACAAAGGTTATATGGAAGCCTTTGTAATGGAGGAGTTTTGCTATCTTCATCATGGGGTTTATGTGGCCTTGAGCTGGGTATGGTATGCAAACTACATGAGGCTTCTCTAACAAATTACAGGAATCCATTCTCTCTCTCTCTCTCTCTCTCTCTCTCTCTCTCTCTCTCTCTCTCTCACACACACACACACACACACACAAACAGATAGGATTATGGTGGCAAGAAGTAGGTACCTTTATAGCTCAATACCGAGGGTCCAATCCAATGCATTCTATAATATTCTATGCCACCAAACTATGGAAATATGGAATATAATTCCATATTGATTGGGATTAAATTTTTCAGGGCTTAGCTTTAAGCTGTTTAACTTAAAACCGGTGCGAGTTGTCTATTAGGGGAGCTGGGGTTATCCCACGGTGAATAGTCTTGTGGTTGTGTGTGTACACATAAGGTCTTTTGTCGTTTATATATAGATATAAAGACTGATTTCTCCTCCAATCAAACGAATTTTTCAACTATCAGCAGATTCAGAACCATTTTAAAACATATTAGTTAACAAAAAAATAAATTAATTTATAAAAACAAATGGGGAAAGAGAAGGTAATCTTTTTGACATCGACTCTATTACAGTACCAATAGTGACCATTCTCTCTTCTCTTTTTCTTGTTGAATTTGATCGAAACAGTACTTCTTATTTGACTTAGATATGAGTAGTATGTGAGATCTATTGCAAAAAAATTATTTGTTTCTCCGTCTCGGGGTGGGTGTTGGTGATTTCTCTGTACTGAGAGGTGTGGCAGACTGACAGTGGTGGGTGAACGGTGTCGTTAGTGTTAGGCCGGTGGTGTCAGACTGTGTCAATATGGGTGCGTGTGAACATAAAACAGAACACCGTTCAAGAGTGAAACGTGGGACCGATAATTTAAGGGGGATATGAGCTCCGAGTCCATAGGTTTTCGAGTTTCTATTTTTTTTTTAAGTAAGTTTAAAAAATTATATAAATTTAATTCGTTTAAAAAATAAGATAAATTTAAATTGAGCCGAATTCGAGTTAAATTTAAGTAATTTGACTATTTTATTTATAAATAAACTAAATTTTGTAAGTTCGAACCGACTCTTTAGGCTCGACTTATTTAAAAAATATATCATACTTAAACAGAGTCCAAAATAAATCAAACCTCAGTCCAACTTGGATAATTTAATTTGATTTTCAATGCTAACGGTCACAGCTAATAAAATAACAATTGGCTTCATTTCAGGCCTGCCACGTGACATGACGAGGACACCGATGCGAATATTCCCCTATAACAAAACAATAAATCAGCCATAAACCTTTAGTTTTAAAAATAATCCTTCATGTCTTCAAGTGTGTCTTACGTGATCACTTCGGTCCATCAAATTTTTAATATTTATCATTTTAGTCCTTCATGTTTATAATTAATCCCTTTAACCCTTTATGTTTTAAAAATAATCCCTCAATTATGATCATGTGAAATATACGTGATCATCCTCTATACTTAATTTAAACTGTTAGTTTTCATTGAATCAAAATGAAACAAATTGAATATTTAAAGGATCAAATTGACATAATAAAAAAATTAGGGGCTAAACAAATACAAAGCACATTATTAAGGGACTAAAATATATTTTACCTATAAATCGAAATAAATTGTAAAGCAGGATGTTGGTGGCCGCCTGTAACGGAGACGTCATCACCAAATATAATTGCATGCCTTTCTTTGTCTGCTGCCCTAGGTCTCTTCTTCTGGACGGCCCTTCTTACTATTTTCACTATATACTTACTTGTTGTTTTCTTACACTAATTGGGTTTGCAAAATATTTTATTTATCTAATGTAATAATTTTATTTGATAATATGATAAATCATAGTCATTGAACTAATAATAAGTTCTAATTAATTGTCAATTTAATGACCCAGAATAATAAGATTAAGAAGTAAGATTATTAAATAAAGTCTATCTATTATATTACCTATTGAGTTTAGTCAGCAGCTAAAAATAAATAAAATAGAAACTAAAGAAGTTGATAAGCACAAGTGATGGTGGACAGTATTTGTGTGAATCACTAAAAGACAAAATTTTTATGGAGACAAGACAATGATGCAATTAGACCAGCTACACATGCATATCAACCCCTCGAACAGATCAGATCAAAAAAAAAAAAAACCCTCGAACGTAAAAATAATTATATGGATTTAGCACAGCATATGACATTGTCATATACACTTAATGAGAGATTGATATAAAAATAATTTATGAAACATGTAAGTTGTATGAGGTGATAGTTGACAACTATTTATTAAGTTTGTACAATTTTTTATTGGTAATGGTGTTTAAATCCTCTCAACACATATATCCAATCCGATCAAAAAACAGACTCTTGAGCCTCTGTCCAACTCACTCACACTCCAGGTATTGTCTAATAAGAGCGTTTCTAACAGAATAGTTGAAACTCTAAAATAACTAAAATTTAATTATTTAAAGGTAAAAAAATATATTTTTTCTCTTCTTGTCATTTTTCACCTCTCTTGTCTATTCTTTATTTTTCCTACCATTTTTTCTCTTTCTTCCTTTAATAGTCCTAACAAATATATAAAGATATGATAAATAATATTTAAAACAAATAGTTAAAATATATAAAAAAATCTATTAAAGAATGTATTAAAAAAGTGAATAATTAAAATAAAAAAACTAAACTTTTAGATAATTAAAATACAAAATTTTTGTTAAAGATGTTGTAAGACACTCTAAAGGAAGCCTTCACAACGATCAAGATAAGTGATGGGGCCCTGGGGGATTAGGTGGGAATTCGTAAAAAAAAATTATGAGGCCCACAAATCCTTCATTTGGGTATGTAATTTAAGATGGGATATTCATTGGGTAAGAAAAAGTCGGCCCATAGGAAATGGAGCCCAATATCCCTTACCGGATACATGGAACATAGGCTGTGTGGGATTAAAAACCAACCTGGAGGGTGTGTTTGGATCACTATAGGAGAATTGAGTTAGATTGAATTTTAAACCCAAACCAAGTCAACCAAATGCAATGAAATCCGGTCATGATATTGGTATTCCATCCAATCCTCTATTTGGGTAGACAATATGTTAAATGTGGATACCATGCACATGTGTAATACAATGAAGGCTAAAATGATCATTACACCCTTTTCCAATTTAAAGTAATCCAATTTTATGCATGTTTGAATGGGTAAGACTAGTTTAAAAATATTTTTGAAATGACAATAGTTGTTAATGTAGATTATTTCGATTATAATTTATTTTATTTGTATTTGTTGTAACCACATGTTTAATAAGAAGACCTACAAAATTAATTTTTAAAATTAAAAATAATTAAAGTCATATTATAATTCAACATTTTCTTTGTTTTGTTTTTTTTTTTTTGGGTGGTCTCATATAAACAGATTTTTTTTTTCTGTTTGGGGTAAGTAACTACCAACAACAACAACAAAAAAACAAGAAAAAAGGTAAAGAAATCCAACCGGCCCCTAGGAATCACCCATCTCTAAAGATACCACTAATTCTAAATTTTCTTCAGTTTTAAGGTTATGCATATTATTGAATTAATAGAAAATGAAAAGACACAAAAACCAACAAGACTTACACATATTTATGGTTATGCCGTCAATCTGGAGGGTGGTTGGCGGTGAACCAGATATCCAACAAAATGACCGACAAATACACACAGACCAGAAAGATAGAAGGAGACAGAGAAAGATCCATCAAATCGCCTAGGGTTGTTACTCGGTAAACCAAAGCTCAGAATGGGGAAAGAAAGGGAGAGACATAGATGGAAGAAAGGGAGAGACAGAGTGGGGGAGGAAAGGGATATATATAGAGAGATAGAGATGGACAAAGCCACCTAGCAGAGCTCGAAAGCCAAAAAAGAGAAACCGATAAGCCTAGAGACAAAGAGAAAAAATCTGATCTTCTTCTTCCCTTGCACTATTTGCCAAAGAAAGGAATATTCGGTTGAAATGGGAGGTGAAAAGTGGGTAAAAACCCTAGGAAAAATATTGCGGGGTGTTTTAGTAAAATCCAAATTTATCCTGTGGGTAGAATTTTAATCCCAAACTTTTCATGGGTTTCAGATATCCATTTCAGAATTGAAAATGGCTCCATTTCCTACGGGCTCAGGTTTTCAAACCCAACGAATATCCCACCCGAAATTAAGTATTCAAATGAAGGATTTATGGGCCCCTAGGATATTTTTAAGCCAATACCTCACCCAATCCCTAGTAATCTGGTGAAACAAACACCCCGAGCAGGGTTATCTGAATCGAATCGAGCGATTCGATCAAGTAAACCATAAACTGAGACCTAAAATAATTCAATTCTTTAGTTGGACCGTTTAAAAAATCAAACCATCAAAAAATCGTACAATCAACCGATTTTGAACAAATATCATGAACCGGACAGATTTTGTAAACCGGGCGGTTGGAAATTTTGTATTAAATCTATAAATTAATTTGTAGTTCAAACATTTAGTCTAATCAGCGACCACTCAGGCGACCAAATCAAGCGATCCTTCTCCACTCAGGCGACCTCTTTGCTCGAAGCTCAAGTGACCTCCACTCAGCAACTCAGGCAACCTTCTCCACTTGATCTCTCGCACTTCGGCATCTAACAGCCTTAAAGGTACAGAAATGTCTCAGAGGGAGTGGAGTTCAAGAGAAAAAGCAGAGATCTTTGGAATTTTGATTGCCTAGGTCAAGTTGAAAGTAATCTTAACCGTTCATTTTGGTTGGGTGGAAAATGAATGGATGGCTAAATTACAAGACTAAAAGT